AAAATTTGAAAAATCATGAAAATCAAAAGGATGACGTTTGGAATACTTTCCTAGCGTTATTATACTTAGAATATAAGTTTAGCCAATTAAAAAATCGTGGTAGTTGGTTTATTAAAAAGGTATGACATATCTAAAACAGAATGGAGTAGATTACAAATAAAAGAAAATTGAATATTTGATTAAATGAAATTCACATAAATATTTATATCATCTATTGAGTTATTATTGTAATTTAAAGCAAGGAAGGATAATATTGTCAATATAGCATTGACTACTCTCGATATATATATACCTTAATTTGAAATTTAGTAAATGAATAAGAGAATCTTAATTAAATAATTAGCAAAGATATCTCTTAAATTTTAGATGAAATTATTCAAAAGACCAAAAATCGTAGTTTCAAATTTTTCAAAGACCATTTCATTTTTGAAAAATTGAAAGAAAAGATGTTTGACTGTAAAGTTTAACGAATTAATATCCCAACTCTTCCATTTAGTAATGTTACAAATATTAACTGATTACCTCATTAAAATCTCTTCGTTTTATTCTGAGTTCATTATCCTAGGCACTTACTTAAGTAAGAAAATTAACTTTTTTTATATAATAGTCTTTTTTTTCCTTCAAACATAGACGAAATTGTGGTTAAGGTAATCGATAGAGATTTGACCATATGGATGTTCATAATTCATTATCATTTGAGTAATGTACTGAATTTATTGAGGAAACATTTACAGTAAAAAAACTGAAACTTCATTTGTCATCGATATTAATTCAAACATTTGAATGATCACTAATTCTTAAAGGAAATGACAACTCATAGAATACCAATTAAAGATTAATGAATATTATAAATTTATATATTATATAAATATCTTTTAGAGTTTATGGATAATCGAATATAGTTTATTATCAATCAAGATATAGATTGATATTTACATGACTTCTTTTTGATAATTCTTACCATCAAATATGATGATAGAATTATATTTTGCTTAGGTTTTGGTTTTTTATGAAAAATACTAAGAAAAATAGTGAAATGAAGTGATGTAACATTGGATGATTTCTTATGCATTTTTGTAATAATCAATTTTATTGTAATTCAATTTAGCTTTCTAAAATGCAACCTCCTTTAGATTTTATTAATGACTTTAGATCTACACCATAATGGTTTACAAATTCTCCTTTTAAGATTAATGCTCCTTAAGTATCGAAATTTGGATTTTAAGAAATTAGTAGAGTCGTAATTCCAGTGGTAGCTAAAGTATAATGAACTATAAATACCATTTTCTTAAAGTAAGTTATTTGTCAATACAGATTTTACATCCCATAAACGAATCAAACTATCTCCACAAGATGCTAATTTAGTACCATCAGGAGAGAATTTGACTGAAAAGACTTTTGAACAATGACCATCTAATTTGGCTTTTTATTATCCTTTCTTAACATCCCATAAACGGATAGAGTTATCATCACTACCAGATGCTAATGTGGTACCATCAGGAGAGTAACAAATTGAATTAACTTATGATGAATGACCATCTAATTTGGCTTTTTATTATCCTGTCCTAATATCCCATAAACGGATAGACTTATCTTCGCTACCAGATGCTATTGTTGTACCATCGGGAGAGAAGTTGACTGAATAAATTGTTCCTGAATGACCATCAAATTTGGCTTTTAATTTTCCAGTCTAAACATTCCATAACAGTATAGATTTATCTCCACCACCAGATGCTAACGTCGAACTATCAAGAGAAAAACATAGTGATTAGACATAACTAGTATGACCGACTAATTTGGCCTTTTATTATCTTGTTTTAACATCCTCCAAACTAATATACTTATCTGCACTACCATATGCTAATAACATACCATAAGGAGAGAAACAGATTGATCTAAAATTATTATTTAGATCGCCTAATTTAGCTTTTTAATTTTTGGTTTTAACATCCCACAAACAGATGGAGTAATATTCACAACCAGATGCTAATGTAGTACCATCTGAAGAGAAACAGACTGTGTTGACTTTAAAACCACTATCTATTTTTGTTTTTTATTTTCCTGTATTAACATCCCATAAACGGATAGACTTATCATAACTACCAG